TTGCATGGGAGGAAAATACTCGGACCCAAAGCCATTTATGAGTATAACCTATTCTTTGGTCACTCTGGTGCAAATTTTAAATTTCATTATCTTTTATACTTTTACTGTTATTAATAACGTTATCACTATTATCTATTTCTTCATCTGAGTAGTTTCCGTTTTCCTTCGTTTCTTCGTCGATCCAACGTTGGATTGCTTCGATCGTCTTTTTCCGCGGAGTTGTTCGTCGAAGGTAAAAATTTCTTATTATTGATGCAGCGATGGTCTTTTGTTTATTCAGCAATTTGGAAATTTCAAACGCCATTTCGTTAAACGAAAATTTTGAATCTAATTCGATTCGTTTATCGTATAATTGTCTCAAAGCGTTCCACAACGTTGCGATATCTGGCGAATAAATTTTGTTCGCCGATGGTTTCGTTTTTGACAACTTTCTGGACTTTATGATCTTGGTTAATAGTCCCACGTTGTGGAGTTGGCTATTATAAATTACTCCATTGAGCAACAGGCCGAGAACGAAGCCAATAAATACTCCAAAAAAGAATTCGCTTGTGAATGTAAGCATTTTTCGTAGTGTCATTGTGGAAAGTGACAGATTTGTTTTATTATTTTAAACAATGTCATTGTTTCAACGATATTTATTGCGTTGTGGTTGATTCCTGAAGTAAGTTAACCAGTGCTGTTTTTATAATAAAATAACCGTTTGTTCATCATACACTGCGAATTTCTGCGCATTGATTATTATTGGTCACCTTCTGCATATAGGGGAACAATAGTTACATTGTGAAAAGATCTAGAAAGTTCCTAGTAATACGTCATTGATTAAGCCACTGATCAGCGTTTGTATATCAGATCACATTGCGCACATCTTTCCGCAGAATCAACCATGGCAACCATCGAGGAGGGAAACGAGAAGATCGAAAAACTTGACAATGAAATTGAAGAAATCAAACAAAAAATCGGGCTAGTTGAGGGGAAAGATATGCTGGCCACCCTTTATAAAACAAGAAAAGAGCTTTATGTGCAAAAGACTGCTTTACTAGGTAACGACTTTGTGACTCGGGCGTTGGGGACATAGAGTAGTGTGTACATAGGGTAGAGTAGTCAAGGTAGGGCTGCTTTGTGACTCGACGTTAGGCATGAATAGAGTGTAGAGTCAAGCGCAGCAAAATACTTGTTTCTGTTTTCTATGATTTGCCTGTAATTTCATTTATTAACTTATGCCTCACTGATATCAGAACGGGGGAAACGAAAAGCGGAGGGAGAACGTAAGCTTATACAGAGTTAACCTTGCTCTATATTACTCAATAACGCGTTGTTTTTTCACTAACTCTTTGTTTTTTTTTCTAGTTGAATCTATAGAAAGCATGAAACGTCGAATAGTTGTTGCAAGATATAGGACAGATTTTCTAGCACTCGACACTTCCCATTGCGAGAATATAGTGAAAGGGGAATTTTTTAAATTGGACAAATCTACCATCACAGAATCTTCATTTAAGGAACTCTTTGGGACCAACGAATATATCCTTATCCGTCGTGATATGGAAGTTCTAATTGATGAATTGAAGAAAGGTCCCTTCATGGAGCAAACGAATTTAACATACCTCTTGAAAGGCGCGGGTGGGGTTGGTAAAACGACGACGCTGTATTTCGCTTCTATTATCGCTCAAAGATCGGGATGTCTTACTATGTATATCAACGCCAAATTTTTTACGAATGGTACACGATGGATCAATCAGAAAGTGTGCGAGTTTTTGGAACCATGGGCCTTGCGAAATCAGGACTTGCTAAAGCAACTTCCGTCATCATCAAAAGTTACAATGTTTGATGCAGCTATGGAAGCAGCAAAGGATATTCAAAATTCGGTCGTACTCTTCAATTTTCTCATTGAAGATCTCCAGAGGACAGTTCGGGTTCCTGTTGTTATTTGCATAGACCAATATAATGCGTTCCTTGTGGATCATGAGGCAGTTCTGGAGTATAACAAGGCGCCGACCACTATATCATGGGGAAGCAATCCTATTGGTAGGATATTCTCCGACTGGAATAACTTCAATGTCCAACGAGGTGCCGTCCTATTTGCCTTCACATCTTCCTATCATGGCGGTAAAACAGCAATTGATGGAAACTCGAGACTATTTACACGTATTTCACCCTACAACAATGATGAATGGGCTAAAATGACCAATCGTTTCACAGACAGTTTGCCTCCTGATACTGGTTTCCTAAGGAACTTTGTTGGTGGTATACCTAGAGAACTCGGCCGCTTCATGAAGATTTGGGATAAGGAACATCATAATGGGGTAGACAACGTGATGAAACTTTATACTAAGGATGCAACAGATTATTATAAAGAAAGAATTCAGAGGTTGTTGGATAAGAAGAGAATGAAAGAAGATGTCAAGGAAAGCACCGTATTTGCAGCAAAAATTTTTATGGGATCATCTATGGATGATGTACCAGATTCGTGGGAAAATTCTGGGATGGTGGTGGTACAAGGACAAACTTATAAGTTATGCTGCCCTGCAGCAGAGTTGGCAATATTTAAAGCATTTGACGACAGCCACACAAAAAATGCCATCAGCATATTGAGAGGGGATAAAACGATAAGCTGGCGGGTGCTAGAGCTCTGTGTGCAACATCGCTTTCGGATGGCAGCTATGAGTGCCAATATTGTTGAAATGGAGTATACAGATCTAACACAAAAAAAAGAAAAAGAAAAAATTCAAATATCTGCCCAAAACATCATCATTCATAATGATATTCCTGTCGAGCTTCCGACCATTCATCCAGGAACAGTTTATATTTGTTGGCGAGGTGCAGCTGTGGTCGATTTTTTTATTTACAATCACGATTGCAAGAAGATATTTCTACAAGTATCTGAACAACCTTATGCAAAGCACAAAACTAAACTTCCCGATCTATTTACCACCACCATAACCCGTCATAACCTTTCTGT